TTTTTCTTCGCTTGAGTATTCATTTGAATATTCTGAAGATGCATATTGCTCTGTGGCTACATAATGTATATGTTCTGGTTGAGGACAATAAAGATGACCATGGCGATGATCAACATCATAGATGCTTGAGAAAGCCATTTCATTCATTGTTTATTTATATTACATCTAAAAATATGTAATTAGATAAAATATCACGTTTTAGTTAACAAATTTACAAAATAATATATAACAATCTCCTGGTGATCATTGCAAAGTAAAGTAATAGTGATTAGCAGGATATACAAAAATTTACATAGACTTTTAAAAAACCATCTTAAAAATCTTTCAAGACTTTATTTAAATTAAATTTTTTTTTACCTTTATAGATATTATATCTTTTTAGATATTAAATTGACCATAATAAAATTAAGATATTAAACTAATTATATCCTGTTTAACAGATGAAATAAAGAGCCTTTACATTCAGTTATAGAAACCTAATCTATAGATAAATAAAACACTTAACTTTAAAAAGTGATTTTTCAAAGTGAAAAATTTCTGATAATTTTATAAATAATAGAAAACTTTCCTATGTACTTGACTCTCCTATGTACTTAGTATTACAAACTATAAAGATTGCTTTTTAGCAACTGCTTATAACTGATTTGGTATGGGATTGGGATATAAGTTTTGTCTGATCAGCATACAATTTTTCTATGAGTTTAGACTGATTATAAGGTTTTTTATATATATAATAATAAAAAATAAGACTTATAATGATACCATTAGATATCATTACAGTCAAGTGACCTAAAATAAAGTTATTTTTGCACTCTCGTTCATAGAGACTTAAAATTATCTTAAAATATTAAATATAAATATTATAACTCTTATTTAATATACTTTTTTGTTATACTTTTTCTTGAATTTATTTTTACATATTTCTGTTGTTTTTTTTTATCCAAAAAATAATTTCATTTTAGGCCACTTAATTGTAGCATTATCATTTAATATTCACTAATAATAATAATAACAATAATAATAATAATAATAATAGTAACAATAACAATAACAACAACAACAACAACAACAACAATAATAATAATAATGATAATAATAATAATAATAGCAATAAAAACAATAATAATAAAAATAAAAATAATAACAAAAACAAAAACAACAACATCAACAACAATAACAATAGTAACAATAACAATGACAATAATAATATATTGTTATTATGATTGTTACAAACGTTGTTTATTGTATATTACTTACTGTAAATATCGAATTAGTATTATTAATAGTATAAATAATATTATTATTGTTACTATTACTTTTGTTATTATTATTGTGTTACTGTTGTTGTTATTATTGTTATTATTATTGTATTGTTAACATTGATATTATTATTGTTATTATTTGTTTGTTATATTGTTATAATTATTGTTATTATTGTTATTACTATTATTATTATAATACTATTATTAATACTATTATTATAACTATTTTATAACTTGGCTTAATAGTTATAACTAATAGTTAATTATTTTGATATAACAAATATTATTTGAAATAAGAACCTCAATTTAAATATTAACATCAATTGACTAATAGCTACTTAAATTGTGTGACTTTTGATTTTATATGAAATCAAAAAAAGTAATATGTAATTTCCAACTCAATTGAACTTTATAAAACTGCCAACTCAAACGAACTTCATAAAATACAGGCAGAATTAAAGTTGCATTAGAAAATTAAAAAGTATACAAAAAAATATTAGGTACATCCGTTTCTATAGCTCTTTCCGCAACAAGTAGCCGGTATGTATACCGCTATTAAAACGGGTTTTAATGACGCCCCAAGTTATTTTGATCCGCAAACTAGTTCTCTCCAAACAAATTTTTATTTCTAGTCAACCAGTATAAAACAGTACTAGTAAACCAGTAGTAAACAGTACTAGTAAACCAATTTTTATTTCTAATATCTATATTGAATGCCATTATATAAGAGTATTTTTATGCTACTAGTTATCAAGGAAAAAGGTTAAAAAAAAATGGATAAAAGAAAATAATTGACTTTTACAAACATTGTGCGGCAAACGTCTATTATGCAAAAAATGATCACTGGTCAATTTTTATTATCATTATTATTCTTTTTTTTTTTTCGTTCTTTTATTTTCAACTTTATTTATTCAAAATATTTATTACAACAAAAAATGTTATAACTTTATATAATGCGTGAAGACTCAAACTTCTTATCAAATTTACTTTAGCGAGCTAATATGGCATTGTGATAAAATATTATTTCAAATTTATTATAACAATGTATTTTATAATGTAACTGTTTCTTTTTATGTGTGGGGCTTAAAGAGTTTGCTTTTAACCCCCAATCTCTTGATTCTTAAGCAAGCGCTCTAACCACTGTGTTTCTCTAACCACTGTGGCCGTTCTGTTAATTTGTTTGCTACAATTGATAGTGGGTCAAAATTTTGCAAAGCATTTAACCTCTATTCACAAAAGTTAGTTAGTTGTTCATGCATTTAAAAAACCTGATACTATTGATGAAGAGCAAATTTTCTAACTAAATTCAACATAAACAGATAAATAATTTGAAAACTAATAAAGGAGTTAATGTGATAAATGACGTCATCACTCAATGGCTTTTATGGCTCTCCACTGATGATGAATGTATTTCTTGAATTAAACATTGCTTTGCCGGCAGTTTCTAACATAGGAATACATCCAACATTAACTTACAAGTTAATGTATTCCTTTTTTACTTCGTAATTAGAAAATACTTCCAGTATTTTGTACGTTTTTACTTTTACTTAAGTATTTTAGTTTAGCAGTACTTTTTCCTTTGTTACTCTTACAGCCAATACTTTCACTTTTTATTTAGTTGGATGGTTTGTTATAATCAAATGTTTATAATCAAACTTTTATATACTTTTTCATCAAGTTTTTTCAGTCTTTTATTGAAGCTCTTACTATGATCTTAGAGCTGATTTAAATTTGTGATTTTTTTTATCATTATCTTTAAACTGATGTCTTTTTTCTTTTCGCTAAACACTGTGCCTCATATATGTAATACCTTGGAATCAGCCAGGTGTAGAAGCTTATTATTCATTTAATTATTTTCAAGTCTTTTACTCTACTCCATGACTTTTTTCTGCTTATGCTGATTCTATTCTAATCGAAATCATTTTTTTCATCTTTTCACAACAACTTATTTCTTGAAAACAAGCATCTTTTAATCATTGCAAGAAATTTATGCAATATAGGTTTCTTAAACCTATATTTATGAAATTTACCCTATATTATACATGAAGGACCTTTTTTTTTTAGGAACCTACATTACATTTGGTGCCTCTTGGATATCTGCCGCTCGGTACAAACTATCCCGGTGCCCCCCCTCCCTCTGGACGGCCCTGACTTTATATAATAATAGCACCTTAAATAATAATAATAATAGTAATAATAGTAATAATAATAATAATAATAATAATAATAATAATAATAATAATAATAATAATAATAAAATGTCCTATGTTACAAGGACAAAATCACAGGTTTCAAAGCCAAAGACTAAATTTTTGTCTTTAAAGCTAGCCGAGGTTAAGGTATTACAAAAATACTTCCAGAGTTGTTAATAAGTACAAATTTAGAAAGACGTTTTTTAAATTCCTTTAATTAAATTTTCATTTAAAATATATTTGATTACTGCTTTTAGTTTTGTTTTTATGTATTCTTATTACGAAACAATTTTTTTAAGTTCGATAACATTAGAGATAATAAACCAAAAAGAAAAAAATTCGTTTATAACAGTTTTATATCGACCACCTAATGGCAGTTACAATCAATTTGAAAATGACTTAAGGCAAATATTAACTCAAACCTCTAAAAAACATCTATACTTACTCGGAGACTTTAATTTAAACTTGATAAATTTAAACACTGATAACCACGTCAAAAATTTCATAAATACTCTTTCTCAATTTAGTGCTTACCCCATGATTAACAAACCGACGCGTGTAACTCGAAAAACATCATCTATCATTGACAATATTATCACTAATAATTATAGTAACTCGACAATCAACAGTGGTATAATAAAAACGGATATCAGTGACCATTTCCCTGTTTTTTTAACTACAAATACTAAATGCTGTATAAATAAAAAACCCATATCAGTATACATAAGGCATGTAAACAAAGGCTCGATTGCGATTTTTAGACAGCTTTTGCGTGAAATCAATTGGGAGTTATTGAATAATTGCAATGACACATGTAGCGCATACGATTTCTTTATCCGCGTCTTTACAAGGCAATATGAAAAGGCTTTTCCTAAAGTTCAGAAAACTATAAAATCCAAAAATGTGCATAGCCCGTGGATGACTAAAGGTCTTTTAAGATCATCAAAAAAAAAAAAAAAGCTTTACGAAAAATATTTAAAAAACAAAAACTATGAAAACGAAACTAAATATAAAAAATACAAAAACTATTTTGAAAAAATAAAAAAGCAATCAAAAAAAAACTTCTATTCTGGACTACTTCAGAAATCATTTGGAAACGCTAAAAAAACTTGGACTATAATAAAAGAAATAACAGGGAAAACAAAAACTACATCTAGCAACTTCCCTAATCGACTGAAAACTGATAAAGGTGAAATTTTTAATAAAAAAACAATTGCTGAGAGACTGAATAATTTTTTTATAAATGTTGGGAAAAACTTAGCCAAAGAAATCTCTCCAAGTAGCAAAACATTCCAGTCTTTTTTGAAAAAATCTTATTATGGACAATTCGGAACTTTCCATTGAAGAATTTCGTTCAGCTTTTGACATGCTTCAGAAAAATAAAAGTGCAGGTCTTGATGAAATTAATACAAATGTTTTGAAAAGTGTCTTTGATATTATCGAATTGCCTCTTTTCATTATTTTTAAACTTTCATTAAAAAACGGGGACTTTCCTGATCAATTAAAACTTGCTAAAATAATTCCAATTTATAAAAACGGTGACGATTCTTTAGAATCAAACTACAGACCCATCTCAATTCTTTCCTGTTTTTCAAAGGTACTTGAACGTATAATGTATAATAGAATATATAACTTCATCGATAAAAACAATATTTTATATCCTAAACAGTTTGGATTTCGGAGAAATCATTGCACTGAGCATGCTGTGA